ACCTTCTTCCCCTAGCGGTGCACCCGGGATCTTCTCGGCTACGTTGCGTCGTGACACGTTTGTGCCTACGTTCGGCAGGTAAGTTTCTGCGGTCTGGCGTCTCTTTCGGCCAGGCGCTGGTTTGTGGTTTTTGGATACGAATATAAGACCGTCAGCACACAGGTGACTGCCCCTATTTCTACCCGTCCAGTCCCACTCGTATGCATGTCCAACCCATGTTCGAGTCGATCAAGGGCGGGACCCCCATCGTACCTCATCCATGTTACAAGGTACGATGGTTGAGGTGCAGGTTATGTACTCACCTAGTTGTACTCGCTTGGTTGTGCTTGCGGGGATTGAGCTCTTGCTCTTCGGTCCCGCCTCTCGGCCGTCTATCGCCTGGTGTGCAGGTTCCTGGGCCTGCTGGGCTCTATCATATCTATATTTGAAACTGTCTGGAGTCAGCCTCCACCACATCTTTGCCTAATGCATATGTGCATTAGTAACATGTGGTACTTGTTACTGTGTCAGGATGTTGTGGGGTGCCATTTTGCTGTAGTTTTGCGCCTGGGGATGCGTGTTGGGGATTGATTGTGGCGTTTTTCGTAGTCTTCTCTGGGGTCCCTCATTTCTTTCCCGTTTTGGAGTGCCTGGCTTGGCCCTTCCTTGTACAGTACATTGGTTTCTCTGTCCTCGTCTAGTTGTCCGCCCCTGGTTGTGCTTCCTGGGGTTGAGCTTGGCTCTTTCGTCCTGCCTCTCCCCTGTCGCTTCCTTGACATCTACTGAGCTCTGCCTTCTCTGCACTTGCAGCTGTGTGTGGGGTCAGCCTCCACCTTCTGCATTGCATTCCATTTGTTTACTACTCTGCCACTGGAATGTTTCTTTCTTGCGTTTCTTGGCTTCTTCGGGCACTCCTTCCGCCTGTGTCGCATGGTGTGTGTGCACTTGTGTTCATTAGTGTCTTCGTTGCGTAGATTAGTGTGTAGATTTGGGACTCCTAAACAAAACCCAACAAAACTCCTCAGTTTGTTGTGCCCCCTTCAGTTCGGGTTTGTTTCTCGAAGGCTCTTTTCCTGTTGGCATTTGCCTCTAGGGATTGGGTTGGTGAGCTTCCTGCTCTTCTCTGGTGCAGGGGTTTCTGCTCCTTCGGTCGTGGCGATAGGTTTGTTCGGTTGCAGCCGTCTCCCTCTTTTCTGGCACAGGATGAGACTGCTGCTTTCTGGAGGGGTCCTTGGTTGTTGGTGCTTGTTTGATCGGGCCGGGGGTGCATCGTGTTTTGTGTCTGGTTGCGGCCCTCCACTGTTAATTGCACGCCACGGCTTCTGTTTCCGGGACGCGCTTTGGATTGATCCGGTTCCATTCTTCCCTGTTCGCGGGTGAGGGTCTCCCAGGTCGTCCGCAGTGTTATTGAGGCCAACCAGCCTACGTTCTACCCCCGTGCCCATGATGTTCGTAAATTGGCTGCTCTTGCTGCCGTCTTGGCGGCATGTCCTGGCTGACATTTGGGCACTGAGCTTTTGGCAGTCGTACAGGGGCCTGGCTGCTCGATATCTTGTGGTCATTCCCGTGCCCTTTCGGGCCTGTGTCGCCTTGGGTGGGCAGTTGCAGCCAGTTGTCTCGACTTTGAGTTGGGGAGTGTGCGACAGCCGCCTCCCGGGTACATCCCCCTCTTTTCCTCTGTAGATAGTTAGGTCAGGGGAGCCGAAGGAGCTCCCCCCAGAAAACTAGCGTTGAATGTAATGAAACGCCATTTTCTGGGTGAGACCCAGAGGCTCCCCGGCATCCCTCCCTCCCTCCCTTCCTCCTGGTCGGCAGTTTTTCGCATTTTTTGACATCCAGCCTCAGAACTTATGGTGGATAGCCGGTACGGAAGATCTGGGGCTCCTCCTTCCCACTCCCGGGGAGGGGGGAAGGGGGAGCTGTGCAGACAGTGATGCGGTGACGTGTGATGTCATGATCGTTTGCTCATTTCTTTTAGGGGAGTTCTATCCACTTGTTCGGCTTGTGGTAGCAATTTTCACCAGAATAGGGGTTTGTTTTGGGATGTTTACCTTCTGGGTGCCTGACCCTGTCGATGGCAGACATAGAATGCTTCCAACCACACGCTTCTAAAGGCCCTTGCTTCCCTTGCCTCTCTGAGGGGGCCAGGTTCTGGCTCGTGATCCCCGTTAGGCCCATAGAACTCCATACACATGACTGATGCCAGAGTCTGACATTAGCATATCAGCCTGGATAAGCTCCAGGGAGCCTCCGGGTCTCACCCAGAAAATGGTGTTTCATTACATTCAACGCTATTTTTTTTTTTAACTCTGGGACCTTCCGGCCCACTTGTTGCCGAGCCTTGCGGCTATTTTTCTCGTGCTGTGTCTTGCAGCATTTTGGGAAATTCAAGTACACCTCGGATATATGTAGCATTTGACCATTTCCCAGGATGTGACCCACAATAGTCGATTAACACCCAGGATCCTAATTACTGCGAGGTGAACAGAGGCAACGGGTGTAAGGAGACTTGCCCATACATCTCGCCCAGCCTGGGTTGAATGCCTCACGCCTCTGCGCTTTCTCCTGAGATTGGGTTGCTGCAGTTGTATGCTCGGGTTCCTGTGCTTTCTGCTGCCTTGGTTGTTGATGATCGTCACTCCTCGGTCATTTGGCTTCAGTCTTGCGCTTCTTTAGTCTTCTGGAGCTGTCTTTGGACTGGTTTCTGGAGGATGTGGAGGCATTGAGTGTTGTGCCTTCGACTGGAGAGCTGGTCTCAGCAGCTCTGGCTTCAGCGGCATTGCTAAAACTGTTTGAATTTATTCTCCGGGAGATGGTTTCTATGTTTTTTCCTCACGCCTGGCATGTCAACAAGGCGTCCTTGCCCTCTCTTGATTCTGCTTGGGTCCTGGCTCTTCAGTCTTCAACTCCCTTTTGTCTTGTTATTTTTGGACGATATTGTATTGTGAATCGGTTTTTGGCGGCGGCATCCTCCAGTTGCTGTCCTATTTCTGATTTGTTGGTGCTCCGGGGGGGGGGGGTCGTTCTCGCTCTTCCTGGGGTGATCGTGCCAAGGCTCAGGTTTCAGTTGCTTGATGTGGGACATTGGTGCCAGCTTCTGAGCTGGTGCTCCTCCAGGGTCCTCTTCCTCTGTTTGGCACAGTGGTCACTGCACACAGGTCGGCTTTTCTGGGGTCGCGTCGGCCCTTTTACGGGTCGCCCCATTAACGGGGCAATGGGGGGGGCAACTGGCCCTGTTTGCCCACTCTTGGTCCCACGATTTGGGGCTCGTGGGACGGGCTTCTTCCCCATCGCTTTGTCAGGTTGTCTTAGTGGGTTTACTTGAGCATGATCGAAACGACCTTGTCCCTCAAGTGGGTTTCTCGCTTGTTCCCAGTTCAGAAATAGGACTACATGGGTCTTCGGTTCATGTTGGACTTCTCCCGTCTGAGCCATTGGATTCCTTGGCCCTCCTTAGAGATGACCACTCTGTCCGAGGTCCGGCTCGGTCCAGGTGCTTGGATGGTGTTCCTGGACCTCAAGAATGCTTATTGGCACGTTCCTATTCACCCGGGGTTCAGGGATTGTTTAGGTTTCGTGGTGGGGTTAAGGCTTACTGCTTGCACTGTTTTCCATCTGGGCTCAATCTGGCACTTTGAATTTTTATGCGTCATACCCGGGTCGTGGTGACCTGTCTTCTTCTGTTAGGTGTTCGGGTGTTGGCCTACCTTGACGACTGGTTGGTGTGGGCTCCCAGCCAGTTTGCATGTCTGCTCGCCAAGGATTTGATTCTTTCCCAGCTCACCGGGTTCAGGTTCCTAGTGAATTGGAGGAAGTTCAATTTGGTTCTGTCCCAGGTTCGGACTTGACTGGGCCTGGTCTTGGATTCTCAGACGTGTCCGTGTCCCTCCCTTCCTCCCTTCTGCAGTGTTGCTCCAGCTGTGGTCCTGCCCTGGTCCTGAACTTGGCTGTTCTTGGGGGGAGGGGGTTCCCAGGTACTCGTCAGTTGCTCGAGCAGCTGTGCGGGAGTCTGAACTTCGCCTTGCTGGTTTTCCCACTGGGTCGGGTTTGGTTTCGAGGCAGTCCCTTCCGCCACTCTCACAGTAGCTGGGTTCATTCCCTGGGAGCCTTGTCAGTTGCTATGTCGGTTGCTAATGGCGCCTTCCCGTTTCCCTTGCTTGATGTGTTCGCTGACACCTGGTTCCTCAAAGTTCTTCTGTGGGAGTTCCTTGTTCCTCAGCGTGAATTTCTCTATCTCTTTTTCCCCCGGGCCAGCTGTTGCTTTGGGTTCTCGCTCAGCTCGAAGCTTTTTTGGGGGAGGGGGATTCTTATGGTTCCATGATGGCTGGTCCAGCCTTGGTTTCAATCGCTACTTGCTCAGTGTCCGAACCTGAGGAGGTTCCCTGACACCTCCCTCCGCCTGAGCGGGGCCTCCTTTCTTCTTGGGCTCTGTTAGGTCTTGGGTTGCAATGTTTTACCAGTAGGGGTTAGTAATGGTTCACCTACCTTTCTGGGTGATACCCCCAGTCGATGGCAGACATGACTATACTCTCAGAAAATGCCGCTCAAAAATACACTCGGTATAAAAAAATACTCAAAAAAAAAAAAAGGCAGCAGTTCATAAGCCATTGCTCCCTGTGCCTTTCTGAGGGAACCAGGTTCTGGTTCATGGTTTCCAGTAGGCATGAACTCCAAGTAACTGATGCTCTAGACTAATACTACTTAGTATAGCTAATATCAGTCAGTCAGCTTCAGGGAGCCTTGGGGGGGCTCAACCCAGAAAATGGCATTTCATTACATTCAATGCCTGTTTTTTTATGCAAGTTGAAGATTAAAATACTCTTATGTATGTATGTTTGTATGTAATGTATGTATGTATGTCTGTATGTATGTATATATGTGCAGTATATACATAATTTTTACAATCTTCACCAAATGAATTGTTTCAAAAAGGGTTAACATATTTAGCCCTCAGTAATGCAAAACAGTTACAACTTGCAAAAGTTTGTAGATGTCTCTTCAAGTGGTTGTCATCCCTACAGGCCAGCCAGCAGGAGCCCCCCCAGTCACTCCTCGTGTGCCGCCCTCTCTGCCAGCGTCCATGCCAGTCATCCTGGGAAAGGACAAGGAGGAACCAATTAAAGGTTTCCGAAAGGCTATGGTTAAAAGCATGTCAAATGCCATGGTACGTAATGTATCTATGCAAAAAAATTCATTCAAATGTTAAATATATATATATATATTCCTATGTCATGTATGTAGACCAAACAATACCAGTATATTCATTGCATCATGTTTTTATTTACTTTTCAGTCCACATTTATAAATGGTCCTGTACTTGTGTTATTTCAATCTGTGCTTGTGGGTATGGATGATTAGCTGTAGGTAGAAATGCTTTAACTATCTCTTCCTTTAGTTCATTCCATGTATTCACTACTTACACACTGAAAAATAATTGTTTATATCTGTGTGTCATTTATGTGTGTGCACACTTTTCTAACTGTGTCTATAGGAAAACATGATTTAGCTGTAGGACTCCACCTCGTAGCTGTTGGTCTAATTAGTGCCTTTAACCCTTTTGATATTCTAGTTCTCTCTTGTACCTGCTTTTGAAGTTGTGAATCGAGATGGCTTCCATGACCTCAGTTTCAAGCATACACAGTATTGAATATTTCCAGTTACAGCTTGTGCCCCTTGTTTTGCCTTACCTCATCTGGAATAGACTGTCTCTGGCCACTTTGTGTATTCCTCTCATAAGTTGTAATCATATTGCCTCTGGTCATTCTCTCTTAGTGTTGTGTGATAGAATTCCTCTAACCTGTCTTCATAGCTCAGCTTTATTATCTCGTCTCATTGCACATCTCTAAACTTTCGTGTTTTTTCTTGTGCTTCACAAGGTGGGGGCTTCCATGGTGTGCTGCCAGGACTGGCCAGACGTGCTGTGTGCTTATCTAGTTGCATATAATGTTCTGAATGAGGTTATGTTAATTTTCAAAGGGCCATCATTATGCTTGTCAATTTTGCAAAAGCTGCCAATTGCTTTCATTTTAACCACTGCGCCACCCGACAATACGGGGTATGGCGGTGCGACACCCGGCTCGGGAGCAATGTTAGGATATTGTAAGATTCAAAATGCGCGTTCGGTGAGTGAGTTACGAGATGGAGGCCTGAGGCCTCCAGTGAGTGCCAGCCATCTTGAAAAAAATTTCCAGCATGCTCCAGGGCCGCGGGTAAGCTAAGTTCTGATTGAGCAACCATGGCTGATGCATGTGCCTTCAGCTCCCAGTTCCCTGTCGGTCGCGGTGTTGAAAGATCCCTGTCCGAATGGGAAATTCAGGCATTTTTGTTTGAAGAAAAGGGTAGTGATATTGATGAACCAAGGCACAATAAAGACCTTACACAGACCTAGGGGTATGGTAGCTGAGCGGACAGTGTGCAGGACTCGTAATTCTGTGGCCCGGGTTCGATTCCCGGACCAGGCAGAAGCAAATGGGCAAATTTTTTTCTCCCTGATGCTCTTGTTACCTAGCAGTAAATAGGTACCTGAGAGTTAGACAGCTGTTACGGAGCTGCTACCTGGGTGTGTACTCACCTAATTGTGTTTGGGGGTTGAGCTGTGGCTCTTTGGTCCCGCCTCTCAACTGTCAATCAACTGGTGTACAGATTCCTGAGCCTACTGGGCTCTATCATATCTACATTTGAAACTGTGTATGGAGTCAGCCTCCACCACATCACTTTCTAGTTCATTCCATTTATTAACTACTCTGACATTGAAAAAATTCTTTCTAACGTCTCTGTGGCTCATCTGGGTACTAAGTTTCCACCTGTGTCCCCTTGTTCGTGTCCTACCCGTGCTGAAGAGTTTGTCTTTGTCCACCCTGTCAATTCCCCTGAGAATTTTGTAGGTGGTTATCATGTCTCCCCCTACTCTTCTGTTTTCCAGGGATGTGAGGTTCAGCTCCTTTAGCCTTTCCTCGTAGCTCAATCCTCTCAGTTCCGGGACGAGCCTGGTGGCATACCGCTGAATCTTCTCTTTGTCTTGTGTTTAACTAGGTATGGACTCCAGGCTGGAGCTGCATACTCCAGGATTGGTCTTACATAAGTGGTATACAGGGTTCCACTTATCACTTACATACCACTTACCACTAGTATACCACTTACATAAGTGGTATACTATATTCACTGTGTGTGTGTGTGTGTGTGTGTGTGTGTGTGTGTGTGTGTGTGTGTGTGTGTGTGTGTGTGTGTGTGTGTGTGTGTGTGTGTGTGTGTGGAAAAAAAAAATTTGCTAGTAGTTAGTTACAGTTGATTGATTGACAGTTGAGAGGCGGGCTGAAAGAGCAGAGCTCAACCTCCGCAAGAACAACTACGTGAATACCAGTGTCCGATACAAGTTACACACACACGAATGCGGATGATAGAGCGAGGTGTGTCTTGTACAGGGCAAGCGCCAGGTATGCTGTGGCCTCACAGGTCATCACCTTTGCCAGTATTATCACCATTTGTCTCATCTCCCATTTCTGGGGGAAAACCCCTTCGGCTCCCCGGAGCCATCTGGGCTGATATGAATGTATTAGACAGTGGAATCGGTCTTAAGCGAATGGCGTTCTGCCTACTGGGGACCATGAGCCAGAACCTGGCCCCCCTCAGAGAGGCATGAGGATCAATGACCTATAGAAACTCCCGTGTGGTTGGTAGCATTCTGTCTGCCATCGACCAGGTCAGGCACCCAGAAAAGCAAGCGCCCCAAAGCAAACCCTATCTGGTTAAAAAATTGCTGCTGATAGCCGAACTGTTGAACAGAATTCCCCAAACTAAAATGAGCAAACTAGCATGACTTCACACCCTTCACCACGCCATTTTCTGCACAGCTTCCCTCCTCCCCAGGAAGGGGGAGTTCCAGAACCCCCGTGCCAGTTATCCACCCCCTGTTTTGAGGTTGATGTGAGACTGGGCGTTCGTGTGACTCTGTTTCCTGACGTTGTTCAGTGCTGTGCCTTGTGGTGTGGTCCTGTTCTGAGGTGGTGTATGGACCAGGAGTAAAATTACAAGTACTTGAGTCCTCTCACCATCCATCTTGGGACCCATGGCGTGATATATAATAAGAACTTTATGTTAAAAAAAGCAAAAAAGCAGGCAAACAATGAAATTCTTCACAAAGAATTCAAAGTGCGGCCGCGGTCATCACTACGCACTATAGACTTGTACACAAAGCGTTTTGCCCCCCAGCACCATGTGCTTGTTCAACCCATACGCGTACATACAGTCATCGTTTTCCAAGCAAACTGTCATGTACCAATTCAAATTTTACAACGAATTTGACGTCATGTTCCAAAAAATTTGTCTTATAGGACAGTCGTCAACCAAGGTTCCACTATATCTTTTATTGAGATGATTTCAGGACTTAAGTGTCCCCGTGGCCCAGTTCTCGACCAGGCCTTTTTTTTTTTTTTTTATACACCCTCAGGAAGCAACCCGTAGTAGCTGTCTTAACTCCCAGGTACCTTTTTACTGCTAGGTGAACAGGTGCTTCAGGGTGAAAGAAACTCTGGCCATTTGTTTCCGCCTCCATCAGGGATCGAACCCGAACCTTAGGATTACAAATCCTGAGCGCTGTCCACTCGGCTGTCAGGGCCCTTGACCCCTAGTACCCTGGAGAGGATGATTTGCAAAGCTTTCCATTTGCCAGTAACCTGGTATAAACAAACTGGTTAACAGTTTAAATGGTATTTCTGCTACCCATATTTTCTTCCAGTTCAATAAGCTTCTATTCCTCTTGATACTAGCATATTTGCCTCCTGCATGCCAGGTCTTCAATTTTATTCAATTCTGAAAACATTCTAAACCTTCTGCTTAACCAAGATACTCTTGTAAATTTCGATGAGCTCATTTCCATCTCTTAGAGTAAAAACATATTCCTATACTGTTCTTTTTCTTCTTAGGCTTATATGACTGCAATAGCCTGGGCATTTCTTTAGTGTTTGTTGCTCTAACATTGGAAACTGAGGCACTTTCTCTCCTGACTGCAATGTACTCACTCTTAGCTTTACTTTTTCCCTGTTACTCTTCCCTGTTTACCTCGGTATTCTGTCTGATACCTATACAGGGCTACCTCAGTTTAATAGTTTAATGCGTTCCTGGAGACCGCTCGTAATCCGAAAACTCATAAACCGAAGCTAATTTCCCCATAAGAAATAATGGGAAATGAATTAATCCGCTCCTGACTACCCAAAAACCTCACTTCAAACTAAATTTTATACCTAATTCATCTAAATCTACACTACCAAAGTATGGTCAAGTTATTACTTACCCTTGCTGATGACTGCTGTTGGCGTATGGAAGATGGTGAGGAGAGGGAAGGAGGAGAGGTGTTGCTGTTTGGAAGGGAAGTCCCCTTCAATTATAACATCAGGCAGTGAGGACCCCTCTGGAGTGCATTCTCTGGCACGTTTTGCCTGCATACCACTAGGTCCTAGTTGTGGCTTACTGCTTGATTTTTTCACAACAAAGCGATCCATTGACGATTATTTTTCCCTTCTTCGCAAGATGTCTCTGTAGTGAGGCATCGCATTGTCACTGAAAAGATTAATGCAACGGCCTACTACAGCTTTCTCTGGGTAAGTCGTTTCAATAAAAGTTTGCATTTCTTCCCATATCTGACACCACTTATTAATGGTTGCGGAAGGGACATTCGCTGCTGCCTCATCCTTAGCTAGGTCTTCTTGCTGTTCGTTTTGAAGGGCTTGGAGTTCTTCAGTGGTCAGTTCTTCATTGTGTTCTTCCACCAACTCCTCCACATCATCACCATCCAATTCCAAGCCCATTTGTCGGCCCAGAGTAACAATTTCCTCAACAATAGGCACATCATTTACAGGCTCAAACCCCTCAAAGTTTAGTTCTGTCACACATTCAGACCACAATTTTCTCCAGCCAGAGATCAGGGTTCTTTGAGTCACTTCTTGCCAGGCTTTGTCAATGAGTTTTAAAGCACTACAAATGTTAAAATGGTGTTTTCAGAACTCTTTGAGGGTGAGGTTTGTGGCTTCAGTCACTTCAAAACATTTCCGGAAAAGTGCCCTTTCATAAAGTTTCTTAAAATTCGCTATGATTTTCTGGTCCATAGGCTGAATTAGAGGAGTGATGTTAGGAGGAAGGAACTTTACTGTGAGAAATTTACTGTATCTGTGCAACAATTCATCTTTCAAGCCTAGAGGATGAGCAGGAGCATAGTCGAGGAGAAGCAGGGCCTTGAGTGGCAAATGTTTCTCCTGCAGATATTTTTGTATGGCAGAGCACACCACTTCATTCACCCACTCCGAAAAAAATATCCTAGTCACCCATTCCTTATTATTGGCCCTCCACATCACACACATTTGGTTATTCTGCACACCATACTGTTTGAAAACCCTTGGATTTTCAGAATGATACACAAGTAAGGGTTTAATTTTCAAATCGACACTCGCATTTGAACACAGCACAAGCGTAAACCTATCTTTCATAGGCTTGTGTCCGGGCAATGATTTTTCCTCCTTGGTAATGTATGTCCTCTTAGGCAATCTTTTCCAGAACAGTCCTGTCTCATCACAATTAAACACTTGTTGTGGTAGGTATCCCTCTGCCTCTGCAAACTCTTTAAATTCTTCAGTAAATCTTTCAGCCGCTGGTTTGTCTGAGCTGGCAGCCTCCCCATGCCTCACAACACTTATGAATACCACTTCTTTTTCTAAATTTTTCAAACTATTCCCTGCTTGCCTTAAAGTCTATCGTATCTGCACTTGTTCCAGGGGTTTTCTTTACAAGGTCTTTGTGCAATACCTTGGCTTTCTCACAAGTGATGGCCTCTGAAACACTATCACCCCTTTAACTCCTTGTCGTGTATCCAAATTAATAACAACTTTTCCACATCCTCAAGTATTTGTGGTGTTTGTTTCGTGATTGTTCTTACGCCTTGCCACTTTAGCACTCATAATGTCCTTTTTCTTGGCAAGTATAGTGCATATCATTGACGTGGCTTTGTTGTACTGCCTACAAAGTTCAACAACACGTGCACCATTTTCATGCTTCCGAATGATCTCTTGTTTTTCCTCTATTGTCATCCTCACATGCGATTTCTTGCCTTGATCCTTACCACTGACTTTCTTGGGACCCATGGCGAGGCATATAATAACTTTTATGGTCAAATGGCAAAAAATCCAACAAAACACTGTAAATCCTGGTGAAGAATTCAGGCGGGATAATCATTGGGCACGAGGCACTGGTAAACTGAGGGGCGATCGCCGTGCCACCACATGCTGGGTTGGCCTGTGTGCGTATCAACACCCTCGTCTTCCGAGACAACGCTTGTGTTCCGATGTAAACTTTCCGAGCAAATCCTGCTCGTATTCCAAAAAACTCGTAAACATGGGCGCTCGTATTCCGATAACACTGTAATTTCTGGTATTTGGCTTTCTTACATTGTTTACTGGGTAATTGAATCATGGGTTAATACTGCTATTCTTGTCAACCTCTTTTTAAAGCAGCATTTTTACCCTGTAGTTTTTGTATTTTTGTTTGTGTTATATACTCTATACGCAATCATCTCATTTACTGTCCACCACATGCTATAACCACTGTAGCCTCATCTACTGCTTCCATACCCACCACACTTGTTGTCATTTTTAAGACTGCCATCTCTGTACAACCACCATGCTAACTACGACAAATATAACTACAGCACCAACACTTATGCTCATTACATTAGTTTATATTCCTTAAACTATGTTTGCTCTACATATTTATTGCAGCACTCGGTAATCTCTGCACCTTCTGCAGAGAAATATCCATTTTATTTATAATACTCACAAATGCAATTGCGTTTGTATCGTGAGATAGGCCAACATGGGATACCTTTATTGATCACCCACATGAAATCAAAACAACAAATTCTGTATATCCTTCTAAATATTTAATTTAGTTAAGAAGAATGTATGTGTAAGTTATTTAAGAGAGAATCTCATTTTACAGAAAATTCCTCACTTTGGGTATTGTGATGAAATTGACATGACTGCCTTGGTAAATATGCGTACAGAGCTGAAGGCTATGGCGGAAGTTCATGGAGTTCGTTTTTCATATGTACCTGTGTTCATCAAAGCCGTATCACTGGCCCTTTCCCAGTTCCCAGTCATCAATTCTACTGTGGACGAAAAATGTGAAAGTATTACATACAAGGTAAGTGAGTACTGTACGTTGTAATAACGCACTAGAGTAAAGTTTTTCTGCTTGAGGGAGTCTTGAGTATAGCACTAAGGCAACTAGCCACCTATTTATTGCTGTTGCTGGCACTGGATTTATAATTTATGTAATAGTGCCTTATTAGTTATTATGTAAAGGAGTTTTTTTGACATTGAAAGTATAGATTCCTGTATAAGTTTTGTTATTCTATTGGATAAATGTGTGAAAATATCTATCATCTCTGGCTTCTTGAACAGACCCCATGGTTATTATTTCTTTATCTCATGGTAAAAGATCCAGAAATTTAAAAATTGTACTTGAACGAACCCCTCTGTAATATTTTGTACAAATGCTTGACTTCTGCCTCAAGCACACAATGCAATCCTACATAAAATTCATGTTGTCTTTTCTTTTCTTTTTTTTTCCCTTTTTTTTTATAAATCTTGATTAAGACCGACTTTGTATAGCACTGACAATTTGTGATAAAAGTGGAAATAATTTGAGTTTTGTATAGTAAAGCATTACCTCATGTTTGTATATTGAACTGGGGAGGTGTTGCTGACACTTAAGCAACTATTATATTATTACTGCTACAGTACAGTGGAACCTCAATTCAAAGAACCTCAATTCTGCAGATCTCTGGTTGGAACACTACGCAAGATATGTCTGTAGTGAGGCATCGCATTGTCACTGAAAAGATTAATGCAACGGCCTACTACAGCTTTCTCTGGGTAAGTCGTTTCAATAAAAGTTTGCATTTCTTCCCATATCTGACACCACTTATTAATGGTTGCGGAAGGGACATTCGCTGCTGCCTCATCCTTAGCTAGGTCTTCTTGCTGTTCGTTTTGAAGGGCTTGGAGTTCTTCAGTGGTCAGTTCTTCATTGTGTTCTTCCACCAACTCCTCCACATCATCACCATCCAATTCCAAGCCCATTTGTCGGCCCAGAGTAACAATTTCCTCAACAATAGGCACATCATTTACAGGCTCAAACCCTTCAAAGTTTAGTTCTGTCACACATTCAGGCCACAATTTTCTCCAGCCAGAGATCAGGGTTCTTTGAGTCACTTCTTGCCAGGCTTTGTCAATGAGTTTTAAAGCACTACAAATGTTAAAATGGTGTTTTCAGAACTCTTTGAGGGTGAGGTTTGTGGCTTCAGTCACTTCAAAACATTTCCGGAAAAGTGCCCTTTCATAAAGTTTCTTAAAATTCGCTATGATTTTCTGGTCCATAGGCTGAATTAGAGGAGTGATGTTAGGAGGAAGGAACTTTACTGAGAGAAATTTACTGTATCTGTGCAACAATTCATCTTTCAAGCCTAGAGGATGAGCAGGAGCATAGTCGAGGAGAAGCAGGGCCTTGAGTGGCAAATGTTTCTCCTGCAGATATTTTTGTATGGCAGAGCACACCACTTCATTCACCCACTCCGAAAAAAATATCCTAGTCACCCATTCCTTATTATTGGCCCTCCACATCACACACATTTGGTTATTCTGCACACCATACTGTTTGAAAACCCTTGGATTTTCAGAATGATACACAAGTAAGGGTTTAATTTTCAAATCGACACTCGCATTTGAACACAGCACAAGCGTAAACCTATCTTTCATAGGCTTGTGTCCGGGCAATGATTTTTCCTCCTTGGTAATGTATGTCCTCTTAGGCAATCTTTTCCAGAACAGTCCTGTCTCATCACAATTAAACACTTATTGTGGTAGGTATCCCTCTGCCTCTGCAAACTCTTTAAATTCTTCAGTAAATCTTTCAGCTGCTGGTTTGTCTGAGCTGGCAGCCTCCCCATGCCTCACAACACTTATGAATACCACTTCTTTTTCTAAATTTTTCAAACTATTCCCTGCTTGCCTTAAAGTCTGTCGTATCTGCACTTGTTCCAGGGGTTTTCTTTACAAGGTCTTTGTGCAATACCTTGGCTTTCTCACAAGTGATGGCCTCTGAAACACTATCACCCCTTTAACTCCTTGTCGTGTATCCAAATTAATAACAACTTTTCCACATCCTCAAGTATTTGTGGTGTTTGTTTCGTGATTGTTCTTACGCCTTGCCACTTTAGCACTCATAATGTCCTTTTTCTTGGCAAGTATAGTGCATATCATTGACGTGGCTTTGTTGTACTGCCTACAAAGTTCAACAACACGTGCACCATTTTCATGCTTCCGAATGATCTCTTGTTTTTCCTCTATTGTCATGCTCACATGCGATTTCTTGCCTTGATCCTTACCACTGACTTTCTTGGGACCCATGGCGAGGCATATAATAACTTTTATGGTCAAATGGCAAAAAATCCAACAAAACACTGTAAATCCTGGTGAAGAATTCAGGCGGGATAATCATTGGGCACGAGGCACTGGTAAACTGAGGGGCGATCGCCGTGCCACCACATGCTGGGTTGGCCTGTATGCGAATCAACACCCTCGTCTTCCGAGGCAACGCTTGTGTTCCGATGTAAACTTTCCGAGCAAATCCTGCTCGTATTCCAAAAAACTCGTAAACATGGGCGCTCGTATTCCGATAACACTGTAATTTCTGGTATTTGGCTTTCTTACATGGTTTACTGGGTAATTGAATCATGGGTTAATACTGCTATTCTTGTCAACCTCTTTTTAAAGCAGCATTTTTACCCTGTAGTTTTTGTATTTTTGTTTGTGTTATATACTCTATATGCAATCATCTCATTTACTGTCCACCACATGCTATAACCACTGTAGCCTCATCTACTGCTTCCATACCCACCACACTTGTTGTCATTTTTAAGACTGCCATCTCTATACAACCACCATGCTAACTACGACAAATATAACTACAGCACCAACACTTATGCTCATTACATTAGTTTATATTCCTTAAACTATGTTTGCTCTACATATTTATTGCAGCACTCGGTAATCTCTGCACCTTCTGCAGAGAAATATCCATTTTATTTATAATACTCACAAATGCAATTGCGTTTGTATCGTGAGATAGGCCAACATGGGATACCTTTATTGATCACCCACATGAAATCAAAACAACAAATTCTGTATATCCTTCTAAATATTTAATTTAGTTAAGAAGAATGTATGTGTAAGTTATTTAAGAGAGAATCTCATTTTACAGAAAATTCCTCACTTTGGGTATTGTGATGAAATTGACATGACTGCCTTGGTAAATATGCGTACAGAGCTGAAGGCTATGGCGGAAGTTCATGGAGTTCGTTTTTCATATGTACCTGTGTTCATCAAAGCCGTATCACTGGCCCTTTCCCAGTTCCCAGTCATCAATTCTACTGTGGACGAAAAATGTGAAAGTATTACATACAAGGTAAGTGAGTACTGTACGTTGTAATAACGCACTAGAGTAAAGTTTTTCTGCTTGAGGGAGTCTTGAGTATAGCACTAAGGCAACTAGCCACCTATTTATTGCTGTTGCTGGCACTGGATTTATAATTTATGTAATAGTGCCTTATTAGTTATTATGTAAAGGAGTTTTTTTGACATTGAAAGTATAGATTCCTGTATAAGTTTTGTTATTCTATTGGATAAATGTGTGAAAATATCTATCATCTCTGGCTTCTTGAACAGACCCCATGGTTATTATTTCTTTATCTCATGGTAAAAGATCCAGAAATTTAAAAATTGTACTTGAACGAACCCCTCTGTAATATTTTGTACAAATGCTTGACTTCTGCCTCAAGCACACAATGCAATCCTACATAAAATTCATGTTGTCTTTTCTTTTCTTTTTTTTTCCCTTTTTTTTTATAAATCTTGATTAAGACCGACTTTGTATAGCACTGACAATTTGTGATAAAAGTGGAAATAATTTGAGTTTTGTATAGTAAAGCATTACCTCATGTTTGTATATTGAACTGGGGAGGTGTTGCTGACACTTAAGCAACTATTATATTATTACTGCTACAGTACAGTGGAACCTCAATTCAAAGAACCTCAATTCTGCAGATCTCTGGTTGGAACACTAGCATCATCTATCACTATAGTTAACAAATGGATTCATTAGGCAGTGATGTGGTGGAGGTAGACTCCATACACAGTTTCAAATGTAGATGTGATAGAGCCCAGTAGGCTCAGGAATCTGTACGACAGTTAAGAGGTGGGACTAAAGAGCCAAAGCTCAACCAGATTTTATAAACACGTTCGCTGAAGTGGGGGGAGGGGGGGATGGACTTGCTAAGGATGTTGGGACAGAGTTCATAGACTGGTGGAAAAGTTGCCAATCACATCATAGGTTAAAATTAAAGATTCCCTTTGTGAAATCAGACCATAGAGAATGGGAAATATGAGAGTATGAATCGTAACTCTTAATAGGGCTCCAATTATCTTTTTAATAATTGTCTTAGATGAACATAAGATTAGAAGAAAGATTTTGGGGCCTTGGAAAAGCCATTAAGCATGTTTAAAACACAAATCTGTGGATCTCTTATATTTCCAGTTGCAGATGTTTTCATTTACAAAAAATATGGGCTCATCCACCTTTGAAAATGAGATTTCAATGGTAGGGCATGGGAAATATGCTGGATATGGTTAAATCTCTCTACAGATATTGTAGGTTCTCTTGGTAGTAGTCCTTCATATGACTGGCTGATATTAAAATTTTGCTCAGTGAAATCAGCCCATAGAGTTGGAAATATTAGGGTATGTATGAATGGTAATTCTGTTAATATGGGGAGGTCCCGGTAGTACATTCGGGTTCTTTCTTGACACACTCGAGAATTCCAGGTTTAAATCCCGGGTGGGACAGAAATGGTTGGGTACATTTCCTTTCACCTAATGCACTTATTCTCTTAGCAGTAAGTACGTACTCAGGAGTTAGTCAACTTGTTGTGGGGTTGCATCCTTGGCAGGGTCAGTAATTCGACCTGGGGGGGGGGAATCTCGATAAAAGTATAACATGTATGAATGCACTCTGGCTTCCTGTCAGACACAATGAATTATTATTAATTATTAATATGGCACTAATCATGTTTTTAATGATTATCATAGATGGGCGCATCATTAGAATAAAGAGTTGGGGCCTTGGGAAAGCCATTGAGCACATTTAAAACCAAATTATATGGTTTATTTTAATTTTGAGATTCACTAATGTTTTCGTTCACTATGTGTTCCTCCTGGGAGTCACCTCTGGTTGGAACGAATTGGAGTTGGTCCCATACACAGGTAGTTCGTTGAATCGAAGTTGCACTGTACATGTACATTGATAGGCTGTTTTACATTAAATTTTGTTTAAAACCATTTTTTGTCTCTGGAAAATATCAGCAATTGTGGTGCAGATATATATGTATGTTTGCTGGCATTATAAAGAACAATATTATATTTGTCCCTGTCATAGGCAAGTCATAACATTGGTGTAGCGATGGACACCAGTGATGGACTAGTAGTACCCAACATTAAGGGCGTACAAGGACTAACATTGCTTGAAGTAGCCGCCGAACTGAACCGTTTGCAGGACTTGGGGTCACGAGGAGCTCTCCAAACTCAGGACATCACTGGTGGCACCTTCACACTCTCCAACATTGGCTCAGTATGCTTCACATTTCTTATTGTAACCTTTTTTTTGTCTTAATATTTCTATATGTATTTTGTACAAGAGTAATAGTGCGTATGTTTAAGCCTGACTTTAATTAGGATGGATTATAGGTCAGTTGACAAGAAAAAGACATATAAACATTTTATAATGTAAATTTAATTTTTTAGATAAAGCTTCAAGGAAAACTTAATTTCCATGTAACACTTCAAGCATTAAAACATTAACAAAAATTGTTGTGTATAATTCAATAATAATGAATACTGTACAGTATTGCAAGTATTATGTAATTTAATTACAAGATGTTTAGGTAATGGATGCAAGAAATTTACTGACATAATCAACACACTGGCTGTGAAGGTTAAACTTAAAAAATGTAAGAATGTAGAAAACTATAGAAGGTCTATTGTATAAAGTGATTTGTAGAAATGCATACAAAAATCTTTTGGTATACTTCCAGGCTAGATAATAATCTTTCAACCTTGAGAATTGCAAATAAGCATCCCAGTACAATTTGGCAGCAACAGCCTTAAACACTGCTCTCACACTGCCATCCTTCCCTTCACATATGCATACAGTATTTCACTAGAATAACCTAGTTTTACAATATTTTCTACATAACACACACATTATGACGAGTATCATAACATGCTATTGAAACCTATTAGAGTAGACCAAATTCTGCACACTGTGGTCAATTTATAAACTTTATGATGCCAATTGTTGTTTAATCTTGTCTACCTATTTATCATTCTCATTCTTATTCTTGTTACAGTTTAAAGCATATTACAGGTTTCTTGGAGTAGCATATCAACATATTTCTGAGCTAAGATTTCTTAGAAACTTTGAGCCATGTGGTATGTCCAGTACTGTACTCTCATCACTTGCCAGATTCTCGTCGAACTTTAAGATTAATAAATGATTCACAACATGGTTTTAAAAATGGCCGTTCATGTATAATAAACTTCCTATCATTTTATTCCCGCATAGTTGAGGCAGTTGATAGTGGAAAGGTTTGTGACGCTGTGAATCTTGACTTTACCATAGATTTTGTTACAGTGCCACATGAAAGATTGATTAAAAATATAGAGGTCACAATATTGGGGAGTGCTATATTAAATTGGATAAGGGCATGGTTATGCCAAAGGAAACAAAGAGTTAGTATAAATGGGGTTAAGTCATAGTGGGGAAAATGTTGTAAGTGGAGTGCCTCAAGGCTCTGTCCTGGGACCTCTGTTATTCATAATACTGTATATATAAATGATTTAGATTCAGGTTTGAGCAGCAATATTTGCAAATTTGCTGATGATATAAAAATCGGAAGGAAAATAAACGTGGAAGACTCGATATCACTTCAAGGTGATCTAAATTGGGTTTTGAAATGGCCAAAAGATTGGCAGATGCAGTTTAATGCTTACAAATGTAAGGTTTTGAAGCTAGGTAATGATGATAGAGTTACAAGATATGAGCTAGAAGGTGTCAAGATTGCAAATTCGGATTGCGAAAAGGATCTGGGAGTTATGATTAGTAATAATTTAAAACCAAAAAATCAATGCATAAATGTTCATAAAAGGGCAAATGGGACACTGGGATTTATTTATCGAAGCATTAGTAACAAGACACCTGGTGGTGTTCTTCAGCTGTATCTTGCTCTGGTTAGGCCCCATTTAGATTATGCAGTTCAGTTTCGGTCGCCGTATTATAGAATGGATATAAATTCACTTGAACGTGTCCAGCATAGGATGACAAAGTTAATCCCACAAATTAGAAACCTGTCATATGAAGAAAGATCGACAAAGCTTAAATTATATTCTCTAGAAAGGCGAAGAATTAGGGATGACATGATAGAGGTTTACATGTGGATGAATGGACATAACAAAGGAGATATTAATGGGGTTTTAAAAGTATCGGCGCCAGAAAGAACACGAAACAATGGTTATAAATTGGATAAGTTCAGATTTAGGAAAGACCTGGGTAAATACTGGTTCCGTAACAGGGTTGTTGATCAACCTCAAGGTTGATTTGTGGAACCAGTTACTGCATAACGTAATAGAAGTAGGATCCCTCGATTGTTTCAAGCATATGTTAGACATCTATTTATATCCACCCAATCTCATTCATATATATACTGTATATGTATGGGCCTATTGGCCTATTAAGGCCATATAAGGCCTATTGGCCCTCATATGGGCCAATAGGCCTTTTGCAGTTACCTTCATTCTTATGTGAGTAATTAGGTAAGCTTTTCTATCTGGTTTTTATTCTAGACTTTTGTCAGAGAGGTTATGTGCTTAAGATTCACTTCACCACGTGATTTACCAGTTGTTTGTGCCATGGACAATCCTTGTCTGCTACTGATGTGTTTCAAGGCTATCATCCACGGCACTGTTTGTTGAATGTCATTAGCCCCAAAGATATCTTTATCTCTAGCTGTTTGACAGAGGTAAAACTACCCAAATGAGTCATGGGAATACTGTATGGGAAAAAATTCCATGTTAGAGTTATGTATGAAAGGGAATGAACTTGGAAGTAATGGTGGAGGAGAGTGACTATACTCGGCTTTAAATATCTTCAAATGTGCTTTGTTACATAATGCAAAGCATTTTAAAACTTGTAAACCTGTCATGGATGAGAGGCAGGATCCAAGAGCTGAAACTCAGACCTAACAAGCATAGTTAGGTGATTAAAAAACCAGCGTCGAATGCCTTATGAACAGAGACAAAAACAGGAGCCAAAGGCACTCGACCGGCCAGTAATTCCATCAGCCAAGAACTGCCAGTTGGATCACTGGCGCTGGTGGTCTGGGGCTTCCCCTTTCCCCTCCCGAGGAGGTGGGGGGGTTGTGGAGATGGCAGCCCGGCGATCTGATGATGTCATGCTAGATTTGATAATTTTGTTTGGGGAGTTCTGTCCACTCGTTCGGTTTTCGGTAGCAATATTTTCACCAGAATAGGGTTTTGTTTTGGGGTGCCTATCCGGTCGATGGCAGACATAGAATGCTCCCAACCACAGGAAGGGGGGGTTCTATAGGCCATTGCTCCTCGTGCCTCTCTGAGGGGGCCAGATTCTGGTTCGTGGTCCCCGGTAGGCAAGAACTCCAAGTACTTTGATTCCAGAAAGTTATACATATCCATTCAGCCTGGATAGCTCCGGGGAGCCGACAAGGCTTCCCCCAAGAAAAGTTAATGTTACTTCCTCAGGCCAGTCAACTACTTAAACAACTGTCTTTTTCCAGATTGGTGGTACTTATGCCAAGGCAGTGATCCTTCCTCCAGAAGTTGCTATTGGTGCTATTGGCAAAATTCAGGTAGGTTGTTCATATAAACTGTGTGATATAATTATATATAATGTATATATTGTGATGGTTTCTGAGATTAGCATCCTTGCACCCCCAGTCCTTGCCAAGGCCTCGTTAATAATAATATAATATATGATATAATATGTTGACCAAACCACACACTAGAAGATGGAGACGATGTTACGGTCCGTCCTGGACCATTATTAAGTCGATTGTGATGAGACGAGGGAGGCAAGGGCATTAAGTAAGGCACGAGAGAGATGAGGAGGAAGAAAACTTACAGAAAAGTAAGGGCAAGGCAAAAGGTACAGAAAGAATGGGAATGTAAGAAAAAGAAAGAGAAAAAGGATGGGTAGGCTTATGTTCAGTTGCGCTTGTTAGAAAGTTTAGAACATTTGAAAATGTACTGTGAAAGGGAAGAGTCGACAGCAACAAAGCCAGGACTAAGGTTCATGTTGGGTAGGTTGCATATCGGAGCCGATTCAGCATGACGGTGTTTGAAGAGTAGAGGCAGGAAAGATTTTAGAAAAAGACCAGTCAATAGAATGATTAGCATGTTCCCATTCTTGCTCCTATTAATACCCCCTTACTCCCCATTTTTTACGCCTATTCTTTCCGTACCTTTTGCCTTACTCTTGCCTTCTTGTAAGTTTTCTTCCTCCTCACCTCTCTTGCCTTACTTAACCCTTGGGAGGCACTTGGGGTTATAGCCTTCAACACCGCCAGGCACAAGAAAAGAATTAAAAATTTGTCTGGTAAATGTGTTCAATTGTCATGACCCTGACCATGAAAAAATACAAACAAAAAAATGTATTTTACTTACCAATGATGTAAATGAGTCGATAAATGTGATGATGACATCGTAGATTGTGATTTCTCGAGCAGCGTGCGTCCCCGTGGCATTCAAGCAGCCAGTGTTGCCACAAATTTATTTTCGCTGCATTATTTACAGTGTGTAAGGCGTATTTTACCACAATTTTTTCACTGATATTGTTCAATATATTATCACTTGATGTTGCATTATAATACAACTGTCATACATTCAATACACTCACATTTTAGTGTATTAACCCTTTAACTGCGCAACGCATCTGCAGGCCCAGGCTTTAGGTGCGTAACACGCCTCTGGGTGTTTTTATTTTTCACGTTCCATTCAAAACTCCCACAGCTACATGGGGTTCACATCAGCTTCCTCAGGGCTCTTGTAAACAGATGCCATCTTTAAAAAAAATCATGGTCCACATTGCCGGGTGTGAGAGCTTCGGTAGTGAGTGAGCAACCAAGGCTGGCGCTCGCAGCATGAGCGTACAGCTCTGCTGTTCAGCGTGTGACCACAGCATCGCCTAATAATGTCAAAATATATATATAACCTGTATTATTTTGCCATGATAGTATTATAGAAGAGCCTGAGTGTGATAATGACTGGGTACAATGTTAAAATATCAGTGATTCAATGCTGTTCACGATGTTCACAGCACTAGCCACAGCACCACAGCATTATTTCGTCCATCTAGGAATCTTCAAACGACTTCTTAGGTTCCTTTTCAAAATAAACTTGTGGTCAATTATTCATTTACAGAAATTAGTGACCAGGATTGTGGTTATAATTAGCATTGTGCGTAGTATTGTAGGAGGAGGAATTTTGGTGAGGGAGGGAGGGAGAGAATTGAGGTAGCCTTACTGTATGACAGCCACTCTTGTTTTGCTCATCATACTAGCTTTGTGGTTTGCTATGGGGAACACACATGTACATAGGTATATACAGTGTGTGTGTGTGTATATAGTGTAATAACAGCAACAGGAGTATGTTGAGTGGAGCTGTTTTGGTGAGGGAGGTGACGTCGTAATCCTAGCATCGTCTGCTGTGTGATTTCTCATGCAGTGTATGGTGGCCACTGTACTGTTTGGACACAATACTGGCTTATTTGCATAGTTCTGGTAAATAAAACATGTAGATAAGTATATATAACATGTGTAAATAGTGTAATAAAAACAATAACAGTATAGTGGGAGGAGCAATGTTGGCGAGTAAGATGTTGGAGTGAGGGAGGGCCTGTCTGGGTGTGGCTGCTCACACTCGCGATGTTCTGAATGTGTTGATGGTAAATGTATATAGTGTGTACATATGTTGTAAATATACATAAATGAACATGAAACATTGGTGTGAATAACTGTATGATGGGAGGAGCAATGTTGGCGAATACAGTGTTGGAGGAGTGAGGGAGGGCTGGCTGGGTGTGACAGCTCACACTCGCGGTGTTCTGAGTGTGTTGATCGTGAATGTATATAGTGTGTGACAGTGTATAGTCTGTAAATAGATTGTATATATACATAAATTAGCATGATACATGGTAAATATGTGCAACATATGTGTACACAAGTGTCAAGTGTCATGCACGTAACAGTGTCCTTGGACAGTACGAATGTTTTACTGCCATAATATAGTGTACGTGTTCATTATACATAGGATTAGCACGTAAAAACAAATAAAATGTATTTGGAACTGTGCGAAAAAAATGAACTAAAATATATTGGTGGCAAAACGCGCGCCCCGCCGGCCCCGGGAGCATACGTCACAGGCGAACGGGGAATGATGACGTCACGCGCCACCTTACGGATCCAATAGCAGCCAAAGTAAGTACAATTTCGAAATTCCGTTGCTATACCTATATACAGGGAGGGGTTTTTGACACTTTCAGAACATAAAAAAAAATTTTTTCCCAAGAATTTATTTCTTGCGCACTGGGGGGGTTGTCATATTTATAGGCCGTGCAGTTAAAGGGTTAAGCAGGTATCAAGCCGTGTCACAATTGTGTGCACACAAATGTTTTCTTTTACAGGAAATATAAAATGTATTCTGATTTATTTTCAATATACACACTCAACTCAATGTTGCAACCCGTTCTCGCAAATTCGTAAAGTCAATATTGACTTATTAACTACGTGCATAGGTGATATACTAAACATAATAGATACCCTTAAAAAGATTCATAGAAAACACCGACCTTACCTAACCTTGTTAGTATCTTAAGATAAGCATCTTATTGCTTCGTAATTACAATTATTACTTAAACTATACCTATTATAGGTTAGGTAATAATTGTAATTACGAAGCAATAAGATGTTTATCTTAACATACTAAGTAGGTTAGGTAAGGTCGGTGTTTTCAAGGGAAACTATTATGTTAAGTATGTCACCTATGCACTTATTAAATAAGTCAATATTGACTTATTAAATTTGCGAGAACGGGTTGCAATATGTACATGTTTTGGCACCATTATTGGATATTTCAAAGTCTTGGAGAGTGTGATACTCTTTGGAGCACTTGACACAAAGGAACGGCACATGCTTCGCACCATGTTAGCACTAATTTATTTCTGTGACCTCTTTTGTGTTACACACAAGTAGGCAGGTACGTAAAAGGGAAAGATCGACCTTTGAGGATCACCCTAAACGGTGCCAAACAGATGGAAGAAGTACTAAGGAATGCTAGAAAATTGCAAAGGGATGAGGATGGGAAAGGGTGGTCGTTAAGACGAGATCTTTCAAAAGAAGATAGAGAGAAGCTGAAACTGAACCTCGCCGAGGCAAAACATTTAAATGAGAGCAGGAATGAAGAAGAAATAAATTCTTTTTTCTACAAAGTGATAGGGGTAGGCAAACCAGTAAAGTGGTACATAAAGGCAAACCAACAAAATCAATAGAGAGAGGGGGAGTGAAGAATAAGGAGAGGGGGAACAAGTTCCTGAAGATTGCATACACCAACATAGATGGAGTGAGATCGAAGATACTGGAGTTAAGTGATGTAATACAGCTGCAGACACCAGACATTGTTGCACTCACGGAGACAAAACTTGAAGATGTAATTTTAAATGAGGTCATATTCCCAAGGGGCTACTCAATTTGGAGACGGGACAGAAAAATTAGGAAAGGCGGTGGCGTTGCTGTGCTGGTAAAAGAACACCTAAAGGTGAAGGAAATAATGACTGCCAATCCACAAGAAGTTGACATAATAGCACTAGAGATCTGCTATGAGGATGATAAACTAATGATGATAAATGCATATAGTCCACCGCCAAGCAGCACATGGTCAAAGGAGGAGCTAGATAGTAAACGTGAAGGTCTTATAACAATAATGAGAGAGATTATAGCGAGAGCGGATAACGATAGATCACGACTGTTGATAGTCGGTGACTTCAACTTGAAATCCATAGACTGGGAAGCATATGAAGCTAAAACAGAAGATTTTTGGACCTGTAAATTTGTAGACCTCATCCTGGAAACATTCTTGTATCAACATGTTAAACAAGCTACGAGGATGAGGGAAGGGGACGTTCCCTCCATGCTAGATTTGATATTTACCAGGAAGGAGGAAGAGATATTTGACATTCAGTACCTTCCTCCCTTGGGTAAAAGTGACCATGTCTTTTTGGGAATAAAGTATGCAATGCGTTATAAGCTGGAAGAAAATAAGGAGGTTGAAGCAGTTGAAAAACCAGACTTCAGGAGAGGACATTATGGTGACCTTAGAAATTTTTTTAGTGAGTATAATTGGACAGACTTGATGCTAGGCAAGGAAGTGAATGAGATGTATGGCAAGTTTTGTGAAATATATGATAAAGGCACAAAAAAATTTATACCAAAACAGAGATGCAGGACCAGAAAACAGGATTGGTTCGACAGAAATTGTGAGAGGGCAAGAGACCAAAAGACACAAAAATGGAATCAGTATAGGAAGAGGCCAAACCCCCAAACATACCAGCGATACAAAGATGCGAGAAACAATTATACAGCAGTAAGGAGAGAGGCAGAAAGAAATTTTGAAAAAGGGATAGCAGATAAATGTAAAACAGAACCGGGCCTATTCTACAAATTCATAAACAACAAATTGCAGGTAAAGGATAATATCCAGAGGTTGGAAATGGGAAACAGATTCACGGAAAATGAAAAGGAAATGTGTGAAACATTAAATGAAAAGTTCCAAAGTGTGTTTGTACAAAATGAAATCT